ATGCCCCCCAGACAAGCCGTGGCTTCATCCTGTGCCCACCCCACCCCACCCCGGCAGGGCAGCGCCTACCCCACCCCAACCCCACTCCCTCCCTCACTATGGGGGAGCACTGATCTGCCCCTCAGGCTCCTTCCCTCCTCCCTCCCCTTCCACCACAACAGACTTACCAGCTGAGCACAGTTGTATCGGAAATCGGATCAGTATCGGCTGATATGCCTCCTTAAAAATCAGTTATTGGTATCAGCCCCCAAAATCTATTGGTGCACTCTACCCTGAAGCAGTCTGATGCATGGCTGAGAACCTGTTCCAAGGTCAGTTCAGTGCCAGTGACTCCGGGGACGGGGAGCATGTATCTATTTACAATGCTGTTGCCTGACTTTGCCTCAAGAGACACAGATGTTACTTTTGTGAGGGTCTCATGAGCTGACACTTCAGCATTGCTGAGAACAAGATACTCCATAGTAAAAAGTCTATCTCAGGGCAGAACCCTGTCTGAAAGCCCAGGAGGAACTCACTCAATGCAGAGGCTGCCTGGCTTTGGGAAGTGCTTCCCCTGCACTAGGTTGGGCTAATGGAAGATGCATCCTATTCAGTCAGACCCAGCATGATCCTCTCCCACACAAGGGACCCCGAGATTGCAGCTGCCTCCTCCTCACTAATATTGGGGCTCCAGTCCACATTTGGCTCCTGGGACGCACCAGGAGCTCAGCAGAGCAGGCTAGCTCTGTTCCCTGCTATGAGTCTAGGGCTACCCTTTGGTGGTAGCAGTAGTGCTGGGGCAGGCCCTAGGAGAAAGCAGCATATACCTCTGCCTTCCAACAGCTGCTAGTACCAGGGGCCCGTATAAGTCACTACAACAGCACAGAGCCACTGGAACACAGGACTGCCCTGGGTCCCCCTTCCAGCTCACTTGCCCCACATCCACCAGACCACTCACTAACAAGGCAGTCTCAGAACTGCTGGTTTCTTGCTGCCCTAGGACCACTCCCTGGCCCCTTCGCACTGGTGCAGAGGAATGAATCCTCTCACTGTGATTGGCCTCCCTGTTGTGCAGCCCCCAGTACTGCCACAGACATCCATGCCCAGTGTGGATGCAACGCAACTATTTCAGTTTAAGGGCTGTTTACACTCTTCCTGCAGTCATTTTCACAGATGCAGACTACAAAATCAGGGGCTGGGCAGCAGAGATGGGCCCCAGAGGCAGCACTGTCGGCCTTTCCCCACTGTATGACTCATTAGCCTCTGCTTACCCCAACAGAGGATGGTTGCCCTACTTAAGTGGGCTCTGCTGTAGGTGGGCCCCACTCACTTGCTGGTGAGATGCAGGGCACTCTGGGGGATGTACGTACCACTTTGATAATATAGCCTCTCCATGCACAGAGATCTGCAGCCAGGGTAAAAGTCATGTAGGACCCCCACACCCCTAGGTTCTACAATGGAGAGTGACCACAGGCCTCACAGCAAGCCTGCCTGCATCCTATGGGGAACAGATCCCCCAGTTGTTGCAAGCCTGGTCAGGTTGATCCCATTCAGCCCCCAAATCTATCAGAATACTAGCTCGCAGCTGATGCAGCCCCTGAAACGCCTCCATAGCTGACCAGCTCTTTCAGTACCTAGGCACAGGAGCAGCAAGCTAGAGACAGGGGCAGTCCTTCAAGCTGTGTATCTGGAGATAGATCCCCTATCTCCCTACTACAACCTCCTGTCCAAGCAGCAGGCCAAGTTGAAGAACAGTCCTCTAAGCCCTGGGGCCCTGGCAACCCTAACCCCCAAAAAAGGATGGCTGTGGATTAGTTGCCCAGATGTGCCCAAGCAGCTGGGGGCTGAGAGGACCATCCTATCACACAAGAAATACTGGCTCAGAAGGTCAGAGCTGCTCACCTTCTTTTTCTTCTTCAGAACAACCTTCACGCCATCCACTGAGACCATGAGACTAACTTTCTTCTTCTTGATGTTCTTGGCTTTGAACTCGTACTGGATAGGGAAGAAAAGAAGGAAAGGAGGGATTAATTCACTTGTGCCACCTCATCCTGTTCTACAAAGGGTGTGTGAAGGCTTGTGTGTACCTCACACATCTCCTCCATAGGTATACACAATACACGCACCCATGCATGCACATACAAACACATCACCTGGGTACACACACTCACCCACATCACCACACACCTGTAGGCACATCCCTGTATGAACATATTTATCTGCATACACACAAAGCCAGCAAATGCTGTTTCATGAGGGCAGGGGTCTCCCCCTCCCCATTTCTGTTTCCTGTCCCCCTTTTTTAGTTCTCTCTCTCTCATGTGCACACACACAGCATGGGAGAGACACACTGATGCTTAGTTTGCCATATCACTTGGACTCAGGGTTATGAGCCAACATTCGGGGGGCTGCTAATGTGACAGTGCTCAAGGCATCATCTTCCCAAAGGCTGTTGGCATGGCACTGACACCAGCCCACGCATGGGGTACTGATAGTCAGAGCCGTCCCTAGTGGGGGGCAAATTGGGGCGACTGCCCCGGGCCCCATGCTTTGGAGGGCCCTGCAGAGCTGGGCGAAACAGTGGCTTCTCGTTCAGCTGCTCACTACCCCCTGCCGCCAATGCTGCCATTGCCATCAGTGGCAGCAGCTTCTTTGGGTCCAGGGCCCATGGGATCAGAGTAGGGGTGGGGCCCTGCATGGACTGATTTGCCCCAGGCCCTGCACCCTGCTCGGGTCAGCTCTGCTGATAGGCCTTGCTCCTGGCAGTGAAGTCCTCTGAAGAGCAAGTGCTGTTGTCTCATGCCTGCAAGGGGATGTTTATCCTTGGTAACCAGGCCACCTCACTCCCATCTGGCACCGAGGTCTGCCCAGACACATGGCAGTGGAACCCAACTTTGTTTTCCCATGACAACAAAGCTCAGCAGCAAGGGTGCCCGTACTCATAGGGATGGGAGGAACATGGACTAAGCCTCTCTGGTGAAAGGAGGGCCAAGGCCTTTTCCTCCTCTCCTGTAAACATTAGGCTGGGGAAAACCCTGTCCTTGAGACCATAAAGCGAGAGGAAAGATCTCCCCGCATCACTGAATGACTTGCCTTGGGGTAGGCAACCCTGTTCCTTCCACCAGCCCTTCCTCCTTTCCCTAGGGCAGGGGTTCCCAACGTTTATGTGCCCAAGGACACATTCAAATTTAAAAGAGAAAGCAGCAGGCACCAATATGAATATTAAACTCCTGGATATGCGCATGCGCATAGTTTCATTTGGGGAGGGAGTAGTAAGCGCCACCCCATCACTGCATCACACAGACCGACTCAGTCTCATTTTGGTGGCCGTTGCGTACAGCCTGTGAAAAAAATGTTGAAAAGTTGCTGTTCTGAGTTCAATCGGCAATGACAGCATTTTTTGTTGGAATAATGATTTTTACTGATCATGAAAATGCGCGTGGGCGCCTGAATAAACCTCAGGGGGTGCCACAGCACCTGCGGGCACCGTTGCCCTAGGGAGTGCCCTTCATTGATGTCAGAGCCCTCAGGGAATATAGCTTAGGTGGGCCCCCATCTCAAACCTCTGCCAGGCTCTTCTCTCAAACCTCACCCCCTCCAGTAGTCCATGAATTGGGGGAGAAGGGCAGGATCCTCTGCATAGCAGACCTAACAGCATTCACCCACAGCTCCTACAAACCCCATCTTGTCTACTTCCACTCTGGTCACAGCTGGAGGGGAACTGGTGGAGCCAAGTAAGGTTTGAAGAGATCTGGGAAGAGGCCACAGTTGGTTCGTCCTCTTCCCTGGCATGCCATTACATCAGCAGTGCTGCTTCCTACAAGTTTCCCTTGCTGCTCTGGGATCATGGGGCTCTCCACTCCAAAGACACTGCAGCCTTAGACACGCTGACATCTATTAAACTGAACTGCAGTCACGCTAGTGTTTTCGCTATACCCTATGTGTGCACTCATTGCTGGGGGGGTGGGGATTGTCTGTGTATCAAGAGACAAGGGAATGGGGGGGGGGGGGCTCGGCCTTCAGGGGGGGGTCTCTGCCTTCACCTTCGTATACATGCAATGAGCTGGCTCCCATCCAGCAACCCCTAGCACAGGAGCCAGCCAAACAGAGGAACTGGGGCACTGCTGTATTTCAGAACCAGCTGCACTGCAGCGCCTGCTTTGGTAAGTCATTTCTATGCAGATCCCAGCCCCAGCTTCAAAGGCTGCACCAAGTGCTGGGCACCCTCTTGTGGCATTAGCAACGGGCTGTGATGTATGGGCTCTGGCAGCTCACAGTTGATGGGCAGGAAAAACTATGAGGCCCAACCTGTAATTTAAATGATAAAGCACTAAAAATACAATTCCCCAAAGCCATTTAAGACCTGCCGATGGGGACAGGAGATACAGATGAATCAGGAGAGAACACGGCCTGCAGGCTGCAGCATGAGTGACAGCTCTTTTGCCTTGCCACCACCTCCAGCTGGCCCCAGCTTCCCCAGGACGAATGCAGGGTATGTGAATGTGCATGTTTGGGGGAAGAAAGTAGAAATGGAGCAAATCTGCAGACACAAGGCAATTCCATACCCTTTACCGCAGGGCTACCAGGAGAAAGAAGGCTTCCATATACCCACAGCACAGGGCCAATATACAATCCCCGCCTGTCCACATGCCTAGGATGCTCACTGCTTCATCCTGGGTAGAGAGACTGTGGATGGAAGGGAACTCAGATCTGACCCTTGGCTTCACTGCAGAACACACCAATGAGGCAGCCCATGGGAATAGGTATCTAACAGATGCAGATGATCATCCACTAAGAGCTGGATTAAGACCCCAGCCTCCCCAGTCCCACCCAATGCCTGCACACAACTAACAGTCTCTCTTTGGAGTCAGTGAACCTCTAAAGTGATAGGGATGCACAAACAGCTGATGATCTTTTTGCAAATGGGTGAGTGACTGTATCTCAGTGGGGTGGGAAGAGACAAGCTATAGAGATCTTGTGAAAGAGAAGATGGATCTTGCACTGGGAGATGACAGCACGCAGTTTGCCATGGTGCAATGGGACATGTAGGGAGTTTGGCCATTCACTGAGGGGACCAGACTGCTCAGTTATTTCCTACTAAATTAAAGCAAACCCATAAAATACATTAAAAAACTCTGCAGATGTTTAAGTGCCTGCACACCTCACAACCAGTCCTTGAGCAGAGTAGTAAAATTTGGAGATAGAAGGGCAGCAGGCAGGAAGGGTGTTTAGCCTTTGGCACCCAGTTTCCTGTTGAAGGCCTCTCTCCTGCAAGTGGCTATGTTTTCCCACCACTACATGCAGCAGGCATGTCCAGGGCAGTGAGTCCCATGCACAGGATCACAGCCATCTTGCAGCAGATGTTGGTGACAAGCTGCACACGTCAGAAACAAAGGTTCCCCACTGTACATTCCCAACCAACTGATTTTTCTTGTACCTGTGATTTCACCTGGACAAAGCATATATACTCTCCCCTCCTTCCATACAAAGAGCCCAGCTAGGACTTTCCACTTAACTGTCCTTCTAAGAATCCCTAGAGATCTCCCAGGTCCCAAAGCTGTAACCTGAAACCCACCACAGGAAAGTCACAATTTAACCCTAAAAGGATGACTGCTGCAATAACTGCCTTCTAAGTCCCCAAGCCTCATCAGAGTCACGCAAGGAGAACTTCTGTTATTGCTGAACCTGTTTTTCTTTAGCTGACTATGAATGCAGTTGGCTAAAGGAGACACTAGTCTTTACCTTGGCTGACTTTAAGCTGTGCTGTCCAAGCTAGAGAATGGCCTGGGATAGGTCTGAAACAGTCCAGGTACCCCTCATTAGGACTCACGGCATCCCTCTATAATTTTTGTGAGTTGAGTGGCTCCTACTTTCAAAAACTAATTTATATATTACACTGCTCATCTCATTGCAGAGGGGCCAGGCAATGGGGGTGGGGGATCAATCAGGCAGGGACAAACCTGAGCCTGTGCTTATTTGCTTATCTCCTCACACCTCAAGTAACACTTCAAAGTATCTGGCAGCACCCCTAGGTGCCATGGGACCTGGGCGAGAATCACCGGTCTAAAACCTGCCTTCTTGATTCATTACTCTCAGTGATAATAAAACCCACATTTTGTTTCCTACATGGCAAAGCCCTAAGTCTTCTGTCTTGGGCTATCCAGGGCACTATTTAATTTGAGCTTCTTCTGTAGAGGAGGCAGCCATCTGAAAAACATCTCAGGGTTACTGAGACTTTACTTAAGGATGGTCCTAAATGACTAACATCCCCACTTCCAAGGTGAAGTCAAAGGTCCCCCCAAGCTTAATGGATCATGGGATAAGCATGGTTAAAGTACAGCAGCTTCCATGGCCAATGGCACACATGAGAGTGATGTGGCCAACATCACATCTGTCCATCTTTGACTCTCCAGCTAGGTACCTGTTTACAGATGGGGTAGCCTTTGGCATCAGAGCTTGAACTCACGCTCCTGGAGTTGGGGACAGAGCTCAGCCACCACACCCCAAATGAAGACATGTGTTATAGCAAAGGTGTTAATGAAGCACATGGCATGGGTGACTGGGATGGAACTTATACAAGACTCTCCAGAAAGAGAACCAGGCCCAAGAGAGGTGCCAAAGCCTCTTGGTACACTTCTCCAGCAAGAACTGCAGGGGGCGAGTGGGGCCAGCTCGTCAAAGGAGTTAACAGGCTCAATGGACTAAGTTCCCTTGTAAATTCAGAGGCCTGAATGGGGACCAAGCTTTTCTGCAAATCTGGCTCACAATACTAGGAGGCCACCTTGCCCTACCCTACAACTCATTAGCACAATCACTCTGGTGAGTTCAGGGACTCCTTGGGATGCATTCGCAAAGCAATGAAACACAGTTCTAGCCAATAAACTCCATGCCCAGTGGGGCCCTCTAATGAAACACTAACCGTAATTAAATAGCCAATAAACCCAGAAGAGAGTTCAATAAAATGGCAATTCAACAGAGAGGCAGCAGCTGGCAGC